GAATATGTGGAATATTACAGCGGCATCACACGAGCAGTAGTGTTGCATTGCATGTGTTCTATAATGCGTTCTATAATCACTGGACTTCAGCTCTAGTTTATTTAGTTTTTTTTCCTTCTTCTTAATTTTTCACTCTTTGCACACTAGTGAGAGAAACCCATTCGGAGCGAGACAAAACGCCTATTCTGTTTTATATTGTAAGAGTAATATACTAGGCTAGTCCAAGCTCAACCAATCAGAGGAGCAGAACTTAAAAAACATATAAATATATAAAATGATATTATATTGTATATTATGTATATATTGATACAATAAAATTAAGTTTGTGATCAAATATTCAAGTACATTACCACATTTTGATTAATTGAAAAAGTGTGCAAATTTTTCCATGTGTTAGAGTTTTATTTACTCAGAGATATTGTTAGGATAAAAATGAACGAATAGCTTAAGTAATCATCGTCCTGTCTACCCTAAGGATACTTCAGCGAAAGTCAGAGAAAGTCAAATTCCAATGTCTGCAGAATCTGGCACCATTTGTAAAACCGTCAAAATTTATAACTGCAGTACAAGATTATGAGATGCATTATTTGAATGCTTGGCCAAAGAGATGTGTCTTTAATTACATCTCGCTTGTCATTTTGTGCCACTGATAAAAAGGGTCTGTTGTTTGGGGCAAAAGACACAGATGGACTCTTTGAATCTCTGCATCATATGTTTGTATTCTTGCACGCTCGTTTCAAATGCTGCCTTTAGGAGATGCATTTACTTCAACTGCACATGCACAGGGGTTCTCTTGTGCTCAGCTGCATTTTTGTCTGTCTAGGATGACTTTGGCAGGACTTCATGAAATAGTGTCTTTGTTGTGTCTATCTACATCAATCAAAGAACAGCAGCAACTCCTGAGACTTGAGACTACAAGAGCCTTTCTGTGTGACTCCTGAGATTAGTCACATTTTCCCTCATGAGTGGGATTTCCCGGTTGGTGGAACACCAAACCCCTCCTCCCACCCCAAACCCAGATGGAAACAGACCCTCGTTTTGATTCTTTCCCTGGTGCTTTAGATAGTGACTCATTTCCGTTGCATGCTACCAAATTAGCTTGTACAGAAAAACAGCTTGCTCATTCCATGTAAAGTTTTTGTCCTAACCAGCCACAACCATGACCAAGTCAAAAAGTTGGTAGGGTTCTATTCCTGATCTGTCACTTGGAGTATCGCCGCCCATAATGCAATGTGATTGGTCCAAAATTCTGTATATTTAACCTCAAATATCTTCTGATTGGCTGCAGTTTTGTCACTTTGTGGTGACATTTTGCTTTCAGTGTGGACAGACGAATTACTTACGACACGTGTCGGTGGTTTGTGCCGTGTTCAGACTTATTTTCGATGGTTTCATTCCTAGGGCAGCTGCTTCCCTTGTTATAGGGTATTTGCAGATGTGAGTTGCAGAAACCGTTGACCGTTTTCAAAGTATGCAAGAAATGTGTGGCTTTTGTGCTTCTGAGCAGAAGTAATACTAATATTTTAAAAAGAACAATAAATTATGAGATTTTCATTTTGTGCTGACTTTCTCATTGTTCACGTATGCCGTCAACGTGGTCTGCCACATTTTTTTTGTGCGTTTTCACACTTTTTCGACCACAAAATTAGAGACCCACCCCTCTAAAATGAGAGCTTCCTTCGAATTTATAGCCTAAAGACAGGTATTTAGCAAGAAGTGTGAAAAAAGAAGTAGAGAGGGGAACAGAACTGGAGGGGAAGAAAAGTGAGAAAAGGGAGGGCGAACAGAGCTGGCTTGGAACACACCCACTCGCATGCATGGATCTTCTCTTTTGCTTTCTGAAACACCAGACGGGTGAAAAGAAACAGTTCAGGTGGTTTAAACAGATCGGTGGAAAGTGTACAACTGTGGTTTTGCAGCAAGAACAGAAGTTCAGGAATGGCTGTATATAAAGGTTATAAAACATACTCCACCGACAGTGTCGGCAGTGACGTGGTCTTCACAGATGAAAGTCATCATTACCAGGGGATGCTGAGGGCCATGGATGAAAGAAAAGGTACAGCGGAAATTCTCAGTTTGAATACTTAAAACTAGCTATTAAACACTGAATTTATTTTTGATATCCTGTTTTATCTTCGTACAATATTTGCTTGATAAGTTTGTCAGTATGATTAAATTTGTTTAATTTGCATTCTTATTTTGTCATTTTTGGCTAGATTATTATATTTATTGATGCTGCTTTCTTTTGACACATATTTAAGGCTTCTTTTGTTATGCAGTCAGGTTATCATCCTGCATCATAATTGGTCCTCTCTGGCCAGGTGAAATGTACTTGGAAAATCTTTCCAACCAATAATAAAAAGTATAAGCTGTCAAAATGAAGTTTTTGGGCTCCAAAGGGAGGGGCCATTGCAAAGGCGGATCCCAAATCTGGGTTGTGGTCCTGCTTGCACATGCATGGCATGTTGGAAAATAGTCATAAAAGTCATAGTTTGAGTACAGCACAGCTCAAACATTGTAAATGTTCTAGATTTATTTTTAACTATAATTTACACTGACATATTACTCCATACACTAAAACTCCATTCCCTCAAGCTACGCGTTCAGTTTTACGAGTGTCAAAGCTGCCGTGCAGAGGAATGCATCTTCTCTCGGATCTAGTGTTTCTCATTGTCAGACCTTGAAAACCTTTGGTTCTGTGGCATGGAACATTAACTAAGCTTTTACGGTGGCCTAAGATATACTGATAGGCGTTACCTTTTCATTACGAGGCTCTGTTGATGTTTTGCTTGGAATTTTAAGTGCCCCTTTTATCCAGCCTTTGACCTGTTCAACTGTTCAGGTGGTCACACTTGTCTTAGAGCTGTTCTGAGATCAGCTTACTGATGGAAATCAGTACTTAGACTTTAGGAGACCAACAGATTCTCAGTAAAATGCAGCATCTTTGTCCTGTCGTTTCATGTCTCCACATGCATCTTCATTTTTTTGTGTTATCAAAATGATAACAAGTGTGTTTTATGCAGTTTACGATGTAAGATTACTTATATAAGATTACTCCGTTTGATGGAAATCAGTACTTAGACTTTAGGAGACCAACAGATTCTCAGTAAAATGCAGCATCTTTGTCCTGTCGTTTCATGTCTCCACATGCATCTTCATTTTTTTGTGTTATCAAAATGATAACAAGTGTGTTTTATGCAGTTTACGATGTAAAACTGCATTATAAGATTACTCCGTTTTTAGCTGACTAGATAAATGTTCATTGTTTCATAAAGGACTTCATACAATGAGCCACAGGAATTGGTTTTCGTGACAGCAAAAGGTTTTAGAAACAGGAAGTGATGTGGTGATGCCAATTGACGTGGCTGCCATGGCAACCGAATGACAGAACAACAACATGCATCCAGTTCCCTGCAGTTGTTTTGTTACAGATGGTTGTCCTGCATGATCTTATCTCAATGTTTTGATGAAATGGTGATGATAAACAGAACTTTGGAGTCCTTATCACAAGTTTGAGTTTTTTTAAAATTTTTATTTAAGTCATGCTTGCTGGTCATCAGAAATATCATCAGCCTTAGTGGTTCATCTTATGATTGGGAGCTGATGTGCTTCTTCTCCAAGTGTCCTTTAACTACAGCTCCACTTGAGTTTTCTTGTATTCTCTTTCATGCTAGCTCAAGTGTGCCATTATCATAAAGTCAAAAATGGACCTGAAAGAGGAATTTGTACTGAATTTTTTGAATCACTCTCTTATATTAGTCATGAAGCGTTTTACAAGATCATTGTGAAACCCACTAAATTCAGGTGGTGGTACTTCTGGAACATTTCATTCCTTTAGCACGCCTTTAAGCAAGTTTCCACAATAAATGTTTGATGACATTGATGATGGTAATTCGAGATGAAGGTAAATGTGGAACATTTGAAGGCTTCTAAACAAATTGAGGAGTAAATGCAGCAGTAAAACAGTGCCAGTAAAAGAGTTGGTGTTTTTTAGAAGCATCTTGATTCAAGATCATCTTTCTTTTTTTGTCAGTAGGGAATCTCTGGTTTAGTCACTAAGACCTGCAAATATCTGAACTCAAGTAAAGAAAATAGATGCACAAACTAAGAACTGAAAAACTTTCAAATTAAGTCAGTTCTAAAGAGCCAAAATCAACCAGTCAGTTGACTTTCACCAGTGGAATGTTTTCTGAGTGCTCAGATGAGCAGATATAGACCGCTAATTTACACTGTGGTGTCTGTAAGATATGCACAGCATGTTCATAACATGGGCCCACCCAATCACTGTGTACAATTGTGGGTCATAAATACCATTGAGAAAAATAACTTTTAAAATTTTTAAATTTTAAATGTCTTTATTATTTAAAGATTGGGGTTGGTAAGTTTTTTTTATTGCTTTTGAAAGTCTCATACTCATCAAGGCTGCAATTAAATGTAAAATATTATTGGAATTTAAAAGAACTGCTTTTTATATTAATATATTTTAAAATGTAATTAATTCCTGTGATGCAAAGCTGAATTTTCAGCATCATTACTTCAGTCTTCAGTGTCACATGATCCTTTCAGAAATCATTCCAATATGCTGATTTCCTGCTCAATAAACATTTCTTATTATTATCAATGTTGAAAGCAGTTGAAAATGTCATATTTTTATTCAAACCATGATTAAAAAAAAAAATTTTTTTTAACAATGTAAAAGTCTATTTAAAGCATCATTGTTGAATAAAAGTATTTCTTTAATGAAATCACATGCAAATATGATGATCACAAAGAAATATGATGCAAAACCTATGCTAATTCCTGTAAGCTTTTGCTTCTCTAAAATCATCACTATGTGGAACCACATAAAGTGCACTATAAAAACCACACAGAGCACTATTATCTAAGAAGATAACTATACTTCAGTTTAGAAGTTTCCATTAGAATGTTGTATAATGTTAACTGGTTTCTAATGTGTCTCTCAGATTTAACTAAAAATTTTGTCTTTTTGTGTTTTACAGATGAACGGGATCGAGTACAGAAAAAGACCTTCACAAAATGGGTGAACAAGCATCTGATAAAGGTATTACCATCCATGCAGAAATTGCAGTCAATTCAAAGTATACACCAATACACGTGCAGTTGTTCTAGGTGCTTGTAACCACACGGTCACAGAGAGTCAAGTCTCTCAGTTCTGCCCTTCACCAATGGCCACTTTGTCAACCCATTATCTCAAGGACTTGTTTTGAAGATGACTGGTGCAGTAACTACAAATGACTGTGGTGACAGCTGCTTGATTGGAAACTCTTAGCACTTACTAAAACTGCACAGAGAACATAGTTGTTTGTCTTACATGGAAAATAACAGTGTATGATGCTTGAAGTGCATGAGTGAAAATGATGTACAGTACAGTGTTTGCTTGTCTAACCCGTATGTGAAAACAGATGGCGAGTGTGTGTAACTGCTACTGCTGTGGAGATCATGATAGCTGAATAATCGTCCTGTACACACCCAGCACACTGCTCTGCTGAATGGTGCTGTTTATTTATGTATGAGTATGTGAAGATGAGTCATCAACAGCTGGTCTCACTTTATATCCCCAAAGAAACGGATTGTTTTCTTGGTGCTGCTTGGATTCCATCCAGCAGTCTGGCCCACAGGCGGCCCCTTTCACGAACAGGGTTTCAAAATGTGTTCCAAAATTCCACCCCAAAATCTACAATATAAAGATGCAAAAGAATCTGAAAATGAAAAAAAAACAAAACTGCTAGAACAAAGCGAACAAGCAACAAAAGTGATGCAGCAGTTTACTCTACTGTGTAAACTGGGTATTTCACATGAAAGATATTTGGAAAATACTGAGATGTGATTTGCTGAACTCCATCTAAAACAATTTCAAACAGTATTTTATTTATTATTGTAAATAATTGTATAAATATTATAAATAATTATTATATATTCATATTTATGACCTCATATTCATGTAAAGACTATGGAATATTTGTATTTTAAATTGTTAATTACTTTTGTTCACACTGCACAAACATTTATATATAAACTATATATAAAATAAATGTGTTTTTATCTTATCGAACTGAAAGCAAAATTAAAAGAAAAAAATATATAAAAATGAATTTCCAGTTTAACTAACTAGTATCTAGAGGATCTTTAAAATTACGCTTCTTACCTTTTTAGGCTGTTTAAAAAATTTTAAATAATAATTATTAAATTAAATTGAGAATAATTTAATTCTTTCATTAAATTAAACTAATTATTAAATAATTTTTGTAATGAGTTTAAGCACTAAATTTGTGTTAGTTTTTGGATTGTGTTAGATGTTAGACTGATTTTCCTTCCTCCATGGAGGCATAGGGTTTATTCAGTGGTCTGCAGTTCAGATCCAGTGACTCAGAGTTGCCAAAATGATGGTTTCAGCAGATGCGTTAGTGATGTTTCATGGCTATTTTAGACTTAATAATAGCTTTGAATTAAATACAAAAGACAATTTAATAATGATGTTATGCCACATATGGGCTGTGCTCTTTCAAATATAATTTGCTGCTTCATGTTTGAATATTAAAACTAAACAAATATATTTCTGACAGGTTGTCATCAGCAGACTTGTTTGTACATGTAAAGGTCTATTCAGAGATTTGATGCAATGAATGAAATATGTAAATTATATATATATCACGCCATCATGCAAACACTGTATGTGTCATCTGTGTTCATTTCACTGTTATATCTGGCTGTGTGTCTCTCGCTGTCTTTCTGTCTTACAGTTCTCATTGTATTTCCCATCTGTTCCAACCTTTCTCTTTTTTATCTCTCCATGTTCCATCCTTTCCTCCATCTTTCTCTGTCAGCACTGGAAGGCAGAGGTAGGTGGTGTCTGTGATCACACCTTTGCAGAGTGACTTCTGTTATTACCTGCATGGGTTTCACATGCACCGTAGCTTCCTGCACTAGAGCTAACATACAAGCTCTCCTGCCTTCCTTGCATGAAATGCAGTTTTTTTTAACACTGGAGATGTTAACACTTGTGTTTTCGGTCTCCTTTAGTACTTTCTGTGCTTACTGCTTCAGCCTCCAGATAATTTCCTTTATCAACAGTAAATATAGTATCATACAGTGGCCCACAAATCAGTGTATGGTTTTTATTGCATAGAACCAACTAACTTCACTTTCGTGAGACATTTTTGTAATTATTATTAAAATCCCAAGGTGATATATGATGTTAGTTCCCGCATTGTAAACTGAGCCGGATATGGAAAGCTCTCAGTGTAAACAGTTTTTTTGTGAGAAAAGTCACTTCAAATGACATTTACCCGTATTTTCCACAGCATCATAATATTTGTGGTTTGTGTCTTCTGTTTGTAGTTTTAATGCTTACAAAACATATTTTTAGGGTTTCAGAACCCTTCTTTTTTGTCAGTAGGGAATCTGTGGTTTAGTCACTAAAACCTGTAAATATCTGAAAATAGATGTACAACAAACTAAGAACTGAAAAAGTCAGATGGACATTTTCCACACAAAAAAAAAAGTCTTTACTTAGGTAAATTAAATGTGGACATAAGATTATTTTAAATACACTACCATTCAAAAGTGTAATGTTTTTAAAACAATTTTGCAATTAAAGGCTGCATTTAATTGATCAAAGATACAGTAAAAAAAAAAAAACAGTAATATTGTGAAATATTATTACAATGAAAAATAACTGTTTTCTATTTTCATATATTTTAAAATGTGATTTATTCCTGTGATGGCAAATCTGATTTGGCAGCCATTACTCCAGTCTTCAGTGAAACATTTCTTATCATTATTAATGTTAAAAACAGTTGTGCTGCTTAATGTTTTCATGGAAACCGTGATGGATTTTTTCAGGATTTTTGGATGATTATAAAGTTTAAAAGAACAGCTTTTATTTGAAATGGAAATACTTTGTAGTACCATTATAAATGTCTTTACTGTCATTTATGATCAGTTTAATTGCTGAATAAAATAATTTCTTTTTCAAACCCCAAACTTATGAATAATAGTGTATTATTTATTCACCTTAATGTATAGTAAAATTAATTCAAATTGTGTCATGTATTGCAAAAGACATAAAACTAGTGGTACACTTTTGCGATCATTATGTCAAAATATTTGCCCGCTTGATGTCACAATCAACCCATTATAATCAATTCATGTGGAGAACTGTAGTATTAAATAGCATAATATTGTCTTGAACATGTAGTCTTCCACTTTCCACAGTTTTCATAATTTGTAATGATGATTTCCTGTTTTATTCAGGCCCAGCGACACATCACAGACCTGTATGAGGATCTCAGAGATGGACACAACCTCATCTCGCTGCTGGAGGTGCTGTCTGGAGAGACACTGGTAAGTTCATGCTAATATGGGATCCGATTTTCCACCCACAACCCTATTCTAAACCTACTTCCAAACATCAATAAGAAATTCTGCTTTTGCAAGGCTAAGTCTCACTACCTGGATCTGCTCCCTTAACATAAGCCCCTCCTCTTCCTGTGTCCTCTTTTGCTTTATAGACCTTGTAGTTTACGTTTGAGTAAAGTTCCCCTTGCAATCTGCATTTGATTGGATAGTTCTACAGTTTAACACCCTCAAAGTCGTGTCCCTCAGATTTGTTTTGCATGCGTCAGTGGTTGACATGTGGCATTCAGATCTGTATGAGCAGTGGACGTAACCACACATACAGAAATGTGTCGGTAGGAACGAATGTCACATCTCACATCTCCCCGTCCTTATGAGCACTTCTACTGTGACTGTCTCTTTTGCATTGCGTCTCACTCCTTTAACACATTAACAATCTGACATTTTCTGCCTCAGTTTCAACTCTGCACCGGTTTGACCCCCCTTGACCATTCCTTTTTCAACTTCCTGTTTGCTCACCTCTGCCCTGACCTTGAAACCTTTGCCTTTGCCTCTTCTCTTGCGATGCTCTTGCTGTGGTAGCCGAGGGAGCGAGACGTTGTCAGGAATTCGCGGTTGGTGAGTTGGGTCTGAAAATTTCCGGCTCGCCTCACCGGAAATGGGTGTGGCATGTGTCACTGCCAGGGGAAATGTGTTGTGCATGATGTCACTTCCTTTGTCATGTCGCTTGTACACGGTGCCGTCCTCCCCCCATGTTCACGAAAATATTCGCTTAAAAATTGAAATAGATTATGCTGATATTTGTATAAAAAATCAGGGTGGTTATTTAAATGTTTGCGTTTTTATTTATTTTTTTTGTGATGGAATGTTCTGGAATGCACTGCATTCACTGTCAGGGAACCATTAACTACAGGCTTTCAGGAATTTGGCGTAATGTATGTTAGTTTAGAATTAAACATTTGGTTTAGTTTTGCATTGATTCATGTCTTCTCATGTTTGCAGACATGGGATCCATTGAGAACCTAAGTGACATCATGCACTGCAAGCCAATAAGCCTGGCTCATGGGACAGCTTAGCTTTTGATTGGCTATTTATTGTGATGACTGATTGACAATGTCATTGCATGTTCTTCTTATTGTATGCTGGTGCATTTTGTCCACATCTTGGCATAGTGGTGTATGTTCAGGTAATAGATTATAGCTAATGAAGCTGGAAGATCTCTGGTCCTTGGGTTTCAAATTAATAAGGTTATAATATTTAAGGTATAGTTTCTGCATTTTTTAAATATAATGCATTGTTTCTTCCATGAAATGTGGAAACTATTACAAAGAAAAAGTGAATTTGCTTAGTTAAGGTTTACTTTAGGTACTTTTTTTGTAGGATGATATTGGTAATATTGGTTTTTTCCCGAATTGAAATAGTATTTTTTTTACATTTCAAAAACACTAAAGTGTTTTCCAATTTTACTGTACAGTAAAATGTTTGGATGTTCGGTTTCACCTTTTAGTCTCATTTAATATGTTTTTTTTTTTTTTTTAAACGGACAAGACATAATATTTCTGCATTGTGACATTCCTACTTTAGTCGTTGTTTTGTATGTTTAGTCAATGCAGTTTTTATCATTCAGTACATCTATAACCGTATTTAAAGGGGTCCTATTATGCTCTTTTACAAAGTCTTGATTTTGTTTTGGGGGTGTACTAGAACAGGCTCTCATACTAGGTTGTTTGAAAAACACCAAATTTTTCACATATTTTACATTATTACATCTGTATTTGTGATATCACAAATCCCGGAAAATGTGCGTTGTAGTCCAAACGAGTCGTTCGTTGTAGTTTTTGAAAAATTATTTCTGTTAAATAAAATATCTCCTTTTGAAGTGTACTTTGCAGATCTTTTTTTATGCTCAAACAGCAACATTACAGACTAACTAAATTTGAAAAAGTGAAAAAGCATAATAGGACCCCTTAAATTTTTTGAGATCTTTCTCTTTGTTAATCTCTCTTTTTATTTTTATTTTTCCAGCCCAGAGAGAAGGGTCGCATGCGCTTTCACAAACTGCAGAATGTACAGATCGCACTGGACTTCCTCAAACATAGACAGGTACAGTGAACCGAACACCTCGGCTTTAAGCCGGTTATTTTTCTTTTTTTCATTAATTTCTTTTTACCCTTGGTTTTGCTATTCATAATCAGGGATATAATACAAAACAAATATAAATATATAAAAGAAAAGAAAATTTAATAAAATATAAAAAGCTACTTTTTCTTGGTCATAAGTTATGATAACATTTCATCAAAAATATTAGCAAGCACTATTGTGTTACTGATCATTAGAATTGTAATTTTTAGTTTGTTTTATATGTCTTCCTGCAGTACCTTTACCGAGTCTATAGACTCATGGATGAAAACCCTGGTCTTATAAGATTTCACTGGTTAACACAGATCTCATTGTTTGACAGGTGAAACTGGTGAACATCAGAAATGATGACATTGCGGATGGAAATCCAAAACTGACCCTTGGGCTAATATGGACCATCATCCTTCACTTCCAGGTCTGGTGTAGCACTAGTTGTGCTCTACTTGCTCAGAGCAGACACATTCTAATTAGTTCTTTATATGCTCTTTGGTTTTGCTTCACAGATTTTCGTTTCCCTTTTCACTGTTTCTACATGTTTTAGTCTCTTAACTTGCTGTTACTATTGCTGTAACAACACAGACGTCTGTGCAGACTTGTGACAAGGTTTAATGTATCATCTGGCAACAGTGATATAGATATCGCTTTTCATAATTGTGCCAAATATAAATCTCAGCCCACCCACAAAACACAACAGAACAAGTATTTGTTATACTTTCACGCATGGCCTCATGTTAATTTGTGCATGAACTAAAATGTCAGACAAAACAACTGTTTTGTACCTGTTAGAGACGGGTGGTTTTCTATGCCAATGCACTCTATTGTCTTTGGATTGCTACACAATGTTTTGTCTCGTTATGAGGAGACTGGAGTGCATTTGTGTACTTTTTTCTGGGAAATAAAAACCGAAGCGTGCGTCTTTGATGTCACAGTAGGCCTGTGGGGGATTATGGGTTGGGACGGTGTCCATTTCGGTTGGTGACTCACATCTTCCCTAAAGGAAGTGGAAGCAGGCACACTGGCATGGTGGTTTGGTGACTCATGAGACCAATCATGCTGTTTTTGGTTGTGGGAATGCATCTTAATTGTTTTCTTTTCCTGCTATTTAAAAGAATAGATTTCCTGCTTATCTTGGCACAAAAGGTTTTGAATTAGTTATTTTACATAAACATGCTGTACAGAACATTATGGCAAATTGAAAAGGTCACATTTTTTATATTTTCAACAAAGTATAGTTATTTTTCTGGTTAGGCATATTAAATAAACTTGTAATCAAACAAAGAGTTATGAATTCCTGTAGAGTAAAGATTATAATACAATAAAAATTAGCAGAATTAGCTTAAATTATGCACTCTGCTGAAGCTGTTGAGTTTGGCACCAGATGTCATTTTGCCAAATTTGTATTTCCTATTAAATAATTAAAAAAAAATCTTTATTCTTACAATAACTTTAAGAAGTTTGAAGTGTTGGGCTTATAGTCACCACTAAAAATATTTAAAATGAGAGGCATTGAAAGGAATTCTGCGTTGAAAAGGTCCTTAAATGCCCCTCTTGGCTCTTGTAAAGCTATGCTGCGAGGGTGGAGGATGTGTTTCCATGTCTGAGTCACTGTGTACATCCTTAATGTAAGGATTCAGAGGTTTAGACCGACCAGACTTCCCTACAAAACTCTTATAATAGGAGGAAACTTGATTTGAGCCTTTAAGCGGTTATTACCCAAAGGGGAATCCTGACAATGAGTCACCAGAGGAACAAACGCATGCAAAATCACAGACTGAAATTTGAACAAGCCTTTTATTATAAACGAATCTTATGATCACTGCTAACCACAATGTTTGTCCGTAGTATCTTGGCAACAGTGAGGGTATTTTAGGCATACTGTTTTTTAATCAAATTCAAATTGTGAAATGCTATATCATTTTCCCTGAGCCTCATAGTGTATAGTGTTTCATTATTGGAAAAGTTCACATTTTAAACTATTAAACAGAAATTTAGCGAAAGGAGTGCAAACTTCATACTCTTTGCCTTTGTGTATATGTTTGTAAAAGAACGATTCAAAGCATTTTGCACTACTAATATCATAATACTAATATTTCCATTGTTTTAATACAGGAACAACTGCAGTAACTGTGGTATTTGTGTATAATACATCATTTGTATTACTGAAGCACTTGATTTTATCACACTGTACATTTTTTATTGTGCTATGAAAGTTGTTTTTATAGTTTCTGTATATGTTTAGAATTTTTTCAAATACATAATTTTATTAAAACCACATTCTCATTGATTTTACTTTTCTTTCTTTTTTACATATTTTACTTTAGTTTACGATTAGATAATATTTAGTTTCTTAATATATTTCAGCTATTGTTTTTTATAATACATGATTTGTTTTATTGAAACCATATTTACATTGATTCTACTTCATTTTTTGTTTTACTATGACAGTTGAAATGATCATTTCTAAATATGTTTAGTCTATAATTTCTTTATAAAATAATACAGAATTTGTATTCTTGTCTTCTTGGTACCTTGTCATTTTTATATAGTCTATCTATTGTTTTACTGCAGTCACCATGGTTAAACTGTGGTTACTATTCAATAACTAGGATCAATTTTAATAAATGCTAGCTCAGACTCTGATTCTACTTTTCTGACCTTGGCTCCATCAGATCTCCGATATCCAGGTGAACGGTCAGTCAGATGATATGACCGCCAAGGAGAAGCTGCTCTTGTGGTCTCAACGGATGGTGGAGGGCTACCATGGCCTGCGCTGTGATAACTTCACCACCAGCTGGAGAGATGGCAAGCTCTTCAATGCCATCATCCATAAACACAGGTAAAAACTTTTAAAAAAGGGAAACTGTGACTTAGCTGTTAGGACACATTCTCTAAACCCATTGATCAATGGTGCACATGTAAAAGAGTCAGATTCTTGAGGAGACATTTTTCAAAAAATAGTTTATTAAGTAATCTTGGCACCTGAGAAGTGAGAAATAGCTGACATTCCCTAATATCTCCAGGCTGTTTATGAAGTTCATCTCCAGACTTGCTGGCTGTATTTGGCATGTCAATCACATACCCCTTCTGCCCCTTGTCGGGTCTATAATTTATGTACTAAATCCTGGCTTTTACCAAGTGATGTTTGACAGGAAACAAGATCTGTCATGCCATACTTAAAGGTAGGCTGAGCTGTTTGAACCTTCAAGAGCACAATTTGCTCTCACACATGGGACTCAAGAAACTGTCATGCAACAACCTTAGAACCACTGACCCATTATAGACTTCATACAAATACCTCTCAACCACAACAAATTCATTTTGGTTTACGTCAAATTTTGCAGGATTAAGTTCAAGTATGCTCGAATTGGCACTTATGAAAAAAGTTTGAAACCAGAATCCAGTAATGAGGGCGTGTTGAATCTGAAAGGATGCCCAGAGGGTGTGTTTTTATCATTCAGCGTGTAGCTGCATAGCTCAGGTTCACCCTACGCTATCAGACGCAGATGACTTGAGATTTGAGCAAATAAGAAGCTGTTCTTCTTCCCTCTCGCTTGCCACTCGATGAACAGATTAGTATATGAACTCCATTGCGACAGCAGCAGTAAAGGTATCTCCAGGCTGTTTATGAAGTTCATCTCCAGACTTGCTGGCTGTATTTGGCATGTCAATCACATACCCCTTCTGCCCCTTGTCGGGTCTATAATTTATGTACTAAATCCTGGCTTTTACCAAGTGATGTTTGACAGGAAACAAGATCTGTCATGCCATACTTAAAGGTAGGCTGAGCTGTTTGAACCTTCAAGAGCACAATTTGCTCTCACACATGGGACTCAAGAAACTGTCATGCAACAACCTTAGAACCACTGACCCATTATAGACTTCATACAAATACCTCTCAACCACAACAAATTCATTTTGGTTTACGTCAAATTTTGCAGGATTAAGTTCAAGTATGCTCGAATTGGCACTTATGAAAAAAGTTTGAAACCAGAATCCAGTAATGAGGGCGTGTTGAATCTGAAAGGATGCCCAGAGGGTGTGTTTTTATCATTCAGCGTGTAGCTGCATAGCTCAGGTTCACCCTACGCTATCAGACGCAGATGACTCTTGAGATTTGAGCAAATAAGAAGCTGTTCGTCTTCCCTCTCGCTTGCCACTCGATGAACAGATTAGTATATGAACTCCATTGCGACAGCAGCAGTAAAGGTGAAGCTCTCAAAGCTTGATGCGTGATATAAGATGGAGTGTGGTTTCTTTGAGGACTGAGACTGCTAACCGTCGGCTGGAACTTGCTTCTCATTGGACGAGAATACCCATCTGCTATCATCCGATTCATTCAATCCAACAAAATGTTTGGTCTCAAGAGGAAGTTACGCTCCAGAAAGAGTCGCAGCACCTCGTCCAGCCACGGATCCGTCAGTGACCTGGAGGACCGGGTGGTCATGCTGTGTGAAGATGTACCATCAGAGGCTTCATTCGATTCGGGTCAGGGGTCCATCAGCCCTGGTGCCTGCTCTAGTGGTGGATCCCAGAGCGGAGATCTTGAACATGGCATGGTGCAAAGGCTCTCCACCCTAAGTAGAGATGGGTTTTCTTACAGAAAGGTGTTCGTCTCAGATGCCGAGCTTCCCTGGGGCCAGCCGTGCTACCTGCTCACACAGACAGTCAATGAGTCGTATGAATGCTTCGTTTTTTCATTAAAAATATTTTGGAGAAAAACTAAGCTAAGCAGTGCTGCCTTTGTCATTGTAGCTTTTGGAATTTCACTGACAATTTAGTCAACTGATTTCGTCATTTGGGGTTGTTATTTGCTATAAAATGTAGTTTTGCTGAACTTGCTCAGGTTTCCATGTAGTTAAAAGGCTGCTTGTGTGTGCACGTAGTATTTTACTGTAATTGTTTTTTGGCGCCTTGCAGTGATTGCTGTTGAGTGAGTACTTAGTCACATAAGACAGGCTTTTTTCAAATCCTGTGAAGAGCTATCAATCTTGCCTTCACCTGCCCAGATACTGGCACAGATGTTTACATAGCCTGCAGATTTGGCCAAGCAGTGTGCAGTTAAATATAAGATCTGCAGGTATGCGTTCAAATGAGATCTTAGGGAAATTTCACATACCTATGGAATTTTTGTTTGCTAACAAAAAAATTATTCTTTAAACATAGCAGACGATAAAATACAAAATAATTAACCAAATGAGCAGCCTCTGTGTTAAAATTAAGTTAATAAACAGGCAGTTTCTGATTTGGTGCATGATGTATTATGTAATCAATGCACTGAAATAAAGTGTGTGCAATCTTTATATTTTCTTTTGTTTCCCTTCTGGGGTTATATTTCTGTCAGTGTCCACCTCTAACTGCGTTCTGTGTCTCCTGTCTTTTGTTGTAGACCAAATTTGATTGACATGAATAAGGTGTACAGACAGACCAACCTGGAGAATCTGGAGCAGGCCTTCAGCGTAGCAGAAAGAGACTTGGGCGTCACACGCCTGCTGGATCCTGAAGGTATAAACATCCCTCTGGATTCTCCTCTAAGGAATTTTTTTTCATTCTTGACTTTCGTTGATCCTAGAGGATTTAATGGATTTGTAAAGTATTTTTTTATGCCTCTGTAAGAGTAGCTTCTAATAATTATCTAATAGTGATTTTACTTTTTTGATGTTGAGTAATGTACACTACTGTTTAAAATGGAGGGTTTAATAAAATTTTTACTTAAAGGTTTTTGTAAATACTTTTATTTAGTAAGGATGCATTAAACTGATGAATTGTAACAGTTTATACATTTATATACAAAATATTTCTATTTCAAATAAATGCTGTTCTTATGAACTTTTTATTCATTAAGGGTTGTATGGGTAATTCTTTTTTTAATTTTTTTATTCATTAACTAATTGTATGGGTCAAAATGATTGATTTTTCTTTTATGCCAAAAAACAGGATATTAAGTAAAGATCATGTTCCATGAAGATATTTTGTAAATTTCCTACTGTAAAAATATTATAACTTAATTTTTATTTAGTAATATGCATTGCTAAGAACTTCATTTGGTCAACTTTAAAGGCGATTTTCTCAATATTTTAATTTTTTTGCACCCTCAGATTCCAGATTTTCAATTCCAGTTGTATCTCGGCCAAATATAGTCCTATCCTAACAAACCATACATCAATGGAAAGCTTATTTATTCAGCTTTCAGATGATGTATAAATCTCAATTTCGAAAAAAATTGACTCTTATGACTGGTTTTGTGGTCCAGGGTCACATATTAAATTAGAAAACAGTTATTCTAAGTTGTAATGATATTTCAAAATAGTATTGCTTAAAACTGTATTTTTAATCAAATAATTGCAGCCATGGTAAGCAAACCTTTGTACGATAGTGTACACACTGATAATAGTTTGTTTTCCCTTTCTGCAGATGTGGACGTGCCACACCCAGACGAGAAGTCTATCATCACATATGTGTCCTCTTTGTATGATGTCATGCCAAGAGTTCCTGACGTTCGGGATGGAGTCAAGGCCAATGTGAGTGTTTTGAAAGTATAAGAAGTTATACAGGTATCATAAGCCATTGAGATGGTTTGTATTCAGTGAAATACATTTTTTATCGACGTGCACAGGAATTGGAGTTGCGCTGGCAGGAATATTACGAGCTGGTGACCATGTTACTCCAGTGGATCAGACATCACATTATCGTGTTTGAGGAACGCAAGTTCCCCTCCAGCTATGAGGAAATTGAGGTTAGTCTCATGATCCATGGGTTTAATGATATGATTTGGTACAGTAATTTACTTTTATTATTTACCAGCTAGAATGTTATGAAATTTACAAAATAGCTTTGTCATTATTTTGAGTCCACAAATACATATGTTTGAAGTACTATAGAAAAACATTCAAAACAATTTTTTTTAAAAAGAAAAAAGATTGTGATATGACCATTTCTCTTTCTTATTTTGTTGTAGGTTCTCTGGCGTCAGTTTTTGAAGTTCAAGGAGACTGAACTACCAGCCAAGGAGACTGACAAAAATCGCTCCAAGCTCATTTACAAGTCTTTGGAGGTAAATTAAATAGCCTTTTAAACAAGCATGTAGTACAGTTTTTACTAAGATTTGACTTTATGTTTGGGGTTTGTTTGTCACCAGGGTGCTGTGCAGGCGGGTCAGATCAAGGTTTCCCCCAGCTACCACCCCATCGATGTGGAGAAGGAGTGGGGACGCCTGCATGTGGCCATTCTGGAACGAGAGAAACTGTTGCGCTTAGAGTTTGAAAGGTGAGAAATCTGTGGATTAATATGGACTAATATGGTACATTTCTTACACATTCTTTCTTTGTTTGTATCATGACTCATTTGAATAATCTGAACTATTTACAGGGGCATTTGGCAATAATAATGATAATACCATGGGTCAAAAAGTATTGAACTAAAGAAGTCAAATGTATGATGCTGTAGCCTAGTGCTCAGATCTGACCAATGTTTTGAACAAAATCTAAACAAACTGATTGTTTAGACCTCATTTAAGTTACGTTTCAAGAAAAATAAAGATCTGCAGAGTGAAGTGACTTGCCCTAAAAAGAAACTTCAACCATACTAATTGATAATTATCAGATCTTGAACATTAATACAATTTTACTGAATTAACAAATGTGAAATTTGACTTATATGTAAATATATAACTTAACCTATATAAATATATATATATTTTTCATTTGACTTACTTTCCCCTTCAGTTTTCGGTTCCAAATGCCTTACTTTAAAGATTCAAATTGTTAAAATGGCTTTTCATATTGTTATTAAATAGCATTTTTCACAAGCAAACAGGGCGTCGCTTTCAAAAAGATTTGTCACAAGACAGACTCTCTGCTGCTCTGCAGAATGTTTATGAGTCTGATAAGTTACAGAAGCACTTCTTAACATCAATAGCTGATTCTGTGCGCCTCCGCTCTGGGAAAACTGTCTCTGTACTGGGATTCAGCATTATTAGGATTATTAGTCATGGCTTTTGTGAATGACAGCCATGGACTGGAACACCTGCTCCGTGAGAGGCGGGTGTGAGTGATTCGACTGACTTTTTTCTAATGTATTAAATGTTGAAGTTACAGAAGCACTTCTTAACATCAATAGCTGATTCTGTGCGCCTCCGCTCTGGGAAAACTGTCTCTGTACTGGGATTCAGCATTACTAGGATTATTAGTCATGGCTTTTGTGAATGACAGCCATGGACTGGAATACCTGCTCCGTGAGAGGAGGGTGTGAGTGATTCGACTGACTTTTTTCTAATGTATTAAATGTTGAATGCCTGTAAAATCTGAATATTGTCTAGTTTAGTTTAGCCTATGTCCAGCCATTACATTCTTACTATTTCATGGCTGTTTTGCTTGTAGTGAATTATGCACAGTGTGTAAGAGTATTTGCATGTTATATGTACAGGCTGGAGCGTCTGCAGCGAGTAGTCAGTAAGGTGCAAATGGAGTCAGGTTTATGCGAGGAACAGCTCAACCAGGTGGAAACACTGTTACAAACGGTGAGATATAAACCCATTTTATTCCTTTGTTTAAAATCCCAGTAGCTTTCAAGAAGAAAAACCTGTAGCAAATAGCACTATAATAATATTTTGCTGTTATTGTAGGACATACGTCTGCTGAGTGCGGGAAAGCCTATCCAGCATGCGTCTGAGATAGAAGCAGATCTGAACAAGGCTGAAAACATGATCCGATACCTTTTCAATGATGTGCAATTACTTAAAGATGGGCGCCATCTACAGGCAGAACAGATGTACAGGCGGTCAGTATAATATTTTACTTCATATCGTTAAGAAATGCAGTGAGAACTAGAACTAAACTGTAATATGAATGCTTTACTATTTATTCATTTATTTAATCATTCATTTGCAACTTTTTAAAAATATGAAAACTTTAATTGTTCCTGTCACCTGAAAATGTTTACATTAAAAAAAAAAAAAAAAGTTAAACTATTCCAATTTTATTATTATTTTTTGCCTTTATTTGTATGGCACTATTTTCTGTAAAGCTGCTTCATAATAATATCTAAGCAAGCTGCTTTGCAGAAAACTTATTAAATAGCAATTAAAAGGCTTAAATAGCAATAATAGTATCTTTATATCTAATAATATCTAAAATAAATATTATCATCAATATCTAAGACAGCTGCTTTGAAGAAAGTATGTATTAAATGGCAATTAAAACTGCATGAACAACAATTAATAATAATTAGTGCTGTCAAACGATTAATCGCATCCAAAATAAAAGTTTTTATTTACATAATATATGTGTACTGTGTATATTTATTATGTATATATAAATATACACATATACAATATATATTTTGAAAATATTTACATGTATATACATTTATATTCTTATATTTTATATTATATATAAATATATATAATATGTAAACATAGCATATTTTTCTTAAATATATACATGCATGTGTTTGTATTTATATGTACATAATAAATATATACAGTATACCCACATATATTATGTAAACAAAAACCTTTATTTTGGATGCGATTAATCGCGATTAATCGTTTGACAGCACTAATAATATCTATAATAATATCTATAATAAATGATCTCTCACAGAATCTTCATAACAGCATCAGTAATTGCTCCTCTTGGTTCTCTCAGGGTATACCGTCTCCACGAGCGTCTGGTTAACCTGCGCAGTGAGTTTAATCTGCGTCTGAAGTCAGGTGTGACGGTGTCGCAGGTGCCCATGACCCAGATCTCCCACATGCAAACATTACAGCAGTCTCCCCAGCGCGTAAGACCTGAGCTTGATGAAGTCACTCTCAAGTACATTCATGACCTCCTGTCTTGGGTGGAGGAGAACCAGAGACGCATTGATGGGGCAAAGTGGGGCGAAGATCTGCCCTCTGTGGAGTCTCATCTCGGTAGCCATCGTGGCCTTCATCAGTCCATCGAGGAATTCAAATACAAGATTGATCGTGCGCGGGCTGATGAGGTAATTTAATGCATTGTTTTAATTAGGGCTGCACAATTAATCGAATTTCTAATCGCTATTACAATTACGGATGTAAATTGTGATAATCGTAATTAATAATCGCAATTACAATTTCAAGGGAATAATCGAAAATAATTTTTGTCATAATCGTGCAGCCCTAGTTTTAATACATATTTCTGTATCCAGTTAGTCTTCAAATTAGACATTTTACACTTAGTAGATATTGTGTTCCCTAAACTTTGTACAAGTTTTTGTTACTGTATCTTTAAGATTTGCATAAATCACCTCTCTTCTGATTGGGTAACTTAATTGCATGTGAACTGAGTAATGGTAGCATTGAGTGATGATATTTATATATTTAAAATATATTATATATTGCATATTATATGTTTTATACTGTGTACTTTAAATAAAGCAACATGGATACTCAAGTACAAACAATACTGTTCTCAATAAACCATGCATGCTTTTTAAACAGTATTAATAATTCAAATAGTATCTTACACTCCATATATAAGTTAAGAATGTCTAAGACCGTACTGACTTTCATCTAAAAAAACAACATCATTTTCTCTCTTCTCAGAATCAGTTGTCTCAAGTCAGTAAGGGAGCCTATCGAGAATACTTGGGCAAACTGGACCTTCAGTATGCTAAACTGCTGGTACGCTCTTAAATTTAGAGCTTACACTTTTGTTGAATTTTAATTTTGGATCTTAAAATATCTTCATAGCAAACTCATAACAAACAAAGCCTTTTGAAATAGAATTAGCCAATTTGTTTGTTGGTTAAGTTTTGTTGATTTTCCACCTCAGAATGTTTCCAAGTCACGGCTGCGGAGTTTGGATCAGCTGCATGCTTTTGTTGTGGCCGCCACAAAAGAGCTGATGTGGCTGAACGAGAAAGAAGAGGAGGAAGTGAACTACGACTGGAGCGACCGAAACTCCAACATGACTGCCAAGAAAGATAACTATTCTGTAAGACCACCAGCACATCTGAACATGATTCGACCTGCGCTAAAATAGCTCTATGGTGTCATTTAAATTGCATTTGACAATAATTGCTGATGTTCCTGTGCTATCTTGTAGGGTTTGATGCGAGATCTTGAACAGAGAGAGAAGAGAGTGAACAATGTCCAGATGACTGGAGACAAACTGCTAAAAGAAGGCCATCCTGCCAGGAAAACTGTGGAGGTACAACATTTACAATTAATCATTTATTGTTTGTGTTTGTCCAAAGCAAAATACTAGAGTAAATGAGTCTTATAGACTTATAGTTTCTATGTTTATATTACTAATATAATACAAAAAAGTATTTTACTTATTTGTGCAGAATATTTAATATTTTCATATTTTTTTAGCTGGCAACGTTTGTTTTACATTTTTTTAAAGTCCTGAAACTTTCTATTTCCAGGCTTCAATTATATTAGATTTTCAATGAGGACCTTTTGACTCCATTGTATATTTTAGCAGATAATTCTGTGTTTAAATGGTTGTAATCTGTTCTTCTGTAGGCTTTCACTGCAGCTCTTCAGACTCAGTGGAGCTGGATCCTTCAGCTGTGCTGCTGCATTGAGACTCATCTGAAGGAAAACACAGCTTACTTCCAGGTACATACTTTAATAAAACTCTGTGCTTGTAGAGATTCTTGTTGACAGTTCAGAACCCATGGTTACAGACAAACAGATCTTCATCTCTATTAAAATCGACTTCAGCTGAATTATTTTGATCTCCTAACCAATTTTTCTGTTCTACAGTTCTTCTCAGATGTTAAAGAGGCTGAAGAGAGGATGAAGAAGATGGAGGACATGATGAAGAAGAAGTATGTGTGTGAACGCTCTATCACAGTCACACGGCTAGAGGATCTTCTACAGGATACAGTGGTGGGTGTTAATATGTCTGGGATTTTAAAAACCAATAAACACCCAAATGTATTTAGTGCTGGGTGATTACTTATTTGACCATTCAGATTATGTTATTAGATTAGAGATCCTTAGAAACTCTTAATTCAGTCATTTAATTTAATTTGAAATTTATGCAATATATATACAAAGTTATCTCTCTGACCTTCAGGAAGAAAAAGAACAGCTAAACGAATTCAAGACTCACCTGGAGGGTCTCAACCGGAGAGCCAAGACCATTATCCAGCTAAAGCCGAGGAACACAGCTTACCCTGTCAAAGGCAAATTACCCATTCAGGCTGTCTGCGACTTCAAACAAATGGAGGTAAACACTCTGTCGCTTGTTTTGTTTGCATACATTGGTAATAAAAGAAGCCAAATTAATCCTGGGGGTACAATTGAGGACACGTAAACTATGTTTTGAACCACATTTTTTATTTGCCTTCCTTTATCACAGTCCCTCTTTTAAAAAATGGTGTATCACATGTATGATTTCCATAATAAATTGCAATTAAGCATGAATATTTTATTACACAGGCTAAGCAGCAGTCAGCCTCACCCAATAACTTGTCTTGCTATTAGTCACAGAACAAAATATAATCCATATTAATCACTGCAGAATAACATTCTTCATTCTTTTGACCCAGATCACAGTACACAAAGGAGATGAGTGTGTCCTGGTGAACAACTCCCAACCGTACAACTGGAAAGTACATAACTCCAGTGGAAACGAGGCCACAGTACCGTCCATCTGTTTTATCATCCCTCCCACCAACAAAGAGGCCGTGGACGTCAGTTCTGGGTAACACAGTACAGCCTGATACGAGTGCACAAGTCTAGTCTCATTTGACCTCCCTTGCTTTAGTTGGCAGCACATTCAAATTCCACATACTCCTTTTATCTCGGTCTTTGACTTTTGAGTCGAGATGTGTGGTTTTGTTGTGATTCATGTCAAATGTTTGCTGGATAAACCGAATCCTTCTGATCAGCCTTTTGCTTTGCCACCTTATCTTTAATTCTGTTTTGAACCTCAGGTTAGATGCGAGTCTGCAGAGGCTGATGGTCCTTTGGCGAAAGCTGCATGTAGATATGAAGAGCCTGCTGTCCTGGCAGTACCTCATGCGAGATTTCCTGCTTATCAACTCCTGGAATTTAATCATGGTAACTTGCACACACACCCCTTTTTGGTATTCAGAAACTTAGTACAAAGTCTTAGTACAAAATACTACAACTTGGTTGAAATGATGGAAATTATTACAATAAATGGCTGACACAAAATTATATGCCATTATATACTTAGAAATGAAAAAATAGATATCACAATATCATAATGTACAGTATGTAAAAATTATTTGCTTCAGCAAGGATGCATTGCATTTTGTAAAACTAAAGACATTTGTTAATTTTATAAAAAACATCTACTTAAAAATGTTGAACCATATATTTAACAAGAATATTACCGTATTGTCCCAAATATAAGACGATATTTTTTTCTTTGGAAATACATCTGAAAAAACGCGGTCGTCTTATATTCAGGGTCTAGACTTTGACATGTCAATAATACACCCACAACAATAGGTGGCGCCAAATACGCATAAAACGAGTGTGCCATGAAATACGTAATGTAATGCGTGTTGTAAAGATCGCGAGTAAAAACAAAAGAAAAAGAAAACCTTACAGCTGCATGAGTCGTGACTGTCACGTTAGCCTGATGGCACCAAACTCCCTTTGTGATTTTAAAACGTAAGACAGTACCCAGATTTGAAGACTACCGTAAGATTTAACTTCTACTGTTAATAAGATTTTGGTAGGCTACTATTAGATGGATAGCCTAAATGTCCTAATTCAGATGGGCTACCTGTTTTTTTTTTTTTTAATGGTATATCAAAAAGTGTATATTTTTTAAATGTGATTGTTGGTACATTTTACCAGTTTTTACCATACTTTCAAAACAAAAATTAAAATAGGAAAAATATGCAATATGAAAATAATTGAAGACAAAATGTGTTTTACTGAGAAAAAACAAGATTTGTTTTTTAAAAAGCCTTTTTCCAAAAGGTACATCTGGAAAAAGGGGGGGTCGTCTTATAATCAGGGTCGTCTTATATTCGGGCCAATACGTAATATTATTATTAGAATTTGCAGCACAACTGCAGCTCAACATATAATGATAACAATATGAAATGTTTCTTGAGCACCGGCATATTACAATGATATTTGAAAGTTCATGTGACAGTAATGGCTTCTAAAAATTTAGCTTTGCCATCAGAATAATAAATGACATTGTAAAATATATTCAAGTAGAAAATAGTTCTTTTGAATTTTCATGATATTTCACAGTATTACAGTTTTTCCTGTATTTTGATCAAATTAATGCAACCTTGGCGAGATGTTCAAAAACATAAAAAAATCTCACTGACCCCAAACTTTTGAATGGTAGTTCAATTTGAGCATGCACAATTCAGTATTCAGTATCGGCCAATATATTTCGATTGCAATGATAAATAAAATTAAGTAATAAAATAATATTGTCTGAAAACTGATCCAATATATCATACATCACTTTAAATGACTATGTTAAATAACACTGTAAATATTATGTATTATTTCATTGCATGCAGAGGCATACAAATGATCTGAAAAGCACATATAAATATACTCATGAATATTAATTAGGTGACACATTCTGTTCTCTATTTTTATGTAGTTTAAGACTTTGAGAGTTGAGGAATATCGACTGACCCTGAAGAACCTGGAGGAGCACTATCAGGCCTTCCTGCGTGACAGTCAGGATTCTGAGCTCTTCGGTGCTGACGATCGTTTGCAAGCAGAAAACAGTTACAGCAAAGCCACTCAACACTATGATAACTTGCTACGCTCTGTTGAACAAGGTAGGTGTCAGGTTAGGGCGGCGGGTTTGTTCAGATGTATAGAAACCATCCATCAGTTTCACTGTTCATCAAAGAATGAGATTGCACATAGACAATGCCGTCTTGGCCCCAGGAACAACCCTGTTTTTTATGACAGCACAGTTTGAAAATTCTGGTTAGAGCCACCTCCCATTATGACTGCAAGACTTATTTTTCAGAACCTGTTTTCATCCAAAAGGGAAGCGTACCAGGTAAAGATCACAGTGTGGATTTCTTTATTAATAAACTGCAAATGATTTGTTTGATGTTATCGTTTGCATCACACTTTGTGCATTTTGCCTCCTTCCCCTTTGACTCCAATGTGTTGCTAATGGAGCAGAGTGTGTTGCTGTTTCTAAGCATCATGTCTTTAATTATTTTTTTCACTTGTGTGATGTCATTTTCAAATTACTGAGATTTCTTCACTATTTTACATTTTGAAATGTAGTGTATGTACTTAAAAGTGTGCAAATGAACTGATTTACTTTAAACCTTGAGACATTCTCTACACAAGCTCTTAAATGCAAATGCTTCTAACTATGTCAGCTTGATTTCATGTGAAAATATACATTACTGTTTCAAGGCTTGGGGTTAAGAAATACATTTTTGTATTCAGAAAGGATGCATTAAATTGATCAAAATTCACAGTAAAGACATTTATAATGTAATAAAAGGTTTATATTTCAAATAAATGCCACTCGTTTGAACTTGTCATTCAGCAAAGAATCCTGGAAAAAATGGATTCACAGTTTTCATGAATTTATTATTTTTTTTTTTAAGATTTATTTTTGGCATGCACATCTCTGTTTTTAAGTAGCACATTTGTTTTCACCATAGATAAGAAGAAGAAATGATTTATTGGGTACCAAAGCAGCATTATTACACTGATTTCTAAGGGATTGTGTGACACTGAAGACTGAACACTTGAATAAATATATTTTTTAATATATTAAAATCAGAAACATTTACGGTTACACTTTATTTTAAGGTGTCCTTGTTACAGTGTAGATATACATTTAAGTGCTGAGTAATATTAATTAACTACATGTACTTGCTATATGGTTAGGGTTAGAATTAGGGTTTGGCTTAGGGTTACTTGCATGTAATTATGCATAATTAATTGTTATTATAATAGTAAGTACATGTAACGTGTAACAAGGTCACCTTAAAATAAAGTGTTACCACAGTTACTTTAAATTGTAACAATGTTTCACAGTATTACCGTTTATACTGTATTTTGATCAAATGAATAAAGCCTTGGTGAGAGTTCTTTCAAAAATGTTAACAATTCTGACTGACCCCAAACATTTGAACAGTAGTGTGCCTGTAGTGTAGATACAACATAAATCTAATATTATGACTGAGGAGACATTCCAAGAAATCTGTGTGTGGTTTTGATTTTGGATTGTATTTTGGGATCAGAGTTTGAGCTGTTTTAACACTTAAGTATTTGAATTATTCAGGGGAGCAGGATGAGTCAGTGTGTAAGAGTTACATCACCCAGATCAAGGACCTGAGACTGAGACTAGAGGGCTGTGAGAGCCGCACAGTGAACCGCCTCAGACAGCTGGTGGACAAGGAGCCTCTCAAAGCCTGTGCACAGAGAGCCACTGAACAGAAGGTCTGCAGAAGCACTGCATTAAATATACATTATATCTTTTTGAACTTGATGCCATTGAATTTACTGTTTTTGGATGAAGAAATACCTTTAAATGCATCTTAAATGAAGAGCCTGCGCATGTCAGCTTCAGTCGTTAAAATGTTTATAATCCCCATATATATTATTTCATACCTTAATATACTTGTGTATTCTCACTTCGTTCTACAGAAGGTGCAGGCTGAGTTGGAGGGTATAAAGAAAGACCTGGATAAGATGGTGGAGAAGAGTGAAGCAGTGCTGGCCACATCTCAGCAGTCCAGTTCCGCCCCTGTCCTGCGCTCAGAAATAGACATCACCCAGAAAAAGATGGAGCATGTCTACAGTCTCTCCTCCGTGTACCTTGACAAGTAAGACTCAAGTCTTACCTTTTTCTTTTTAAATATATACAGTACACTTCCAATAAAATGTTGGGGGTCGGTAAAAATTTTTAAGGCCTGGTTTCACAGACAGGGCTTAAACTAAGCCAGGATTAGGCCATAGTTCAATTAGGACATTTAAGTCATTTTTATAAACGTGCCTTAGAAAAAACATTAATGGTGTGCATCTTGAGACAAAACAAAAGCACTGACATGTTTTAGGATTAATCAGTGCGAGTTTCTATCAGTTGAAACAGCTCAGATTTACATTTTAGTCTGGGACTAGGCTTAAGCCGGGGGTATATGTTTTTGAATGATGCTTACCAAGGCATTGCATCTATTTGATCAACAATACAGTAAAAACAGTAATCTTATGGAATAATTTTACAATTTAAAATAGCTGTTTTAAAATGCAATGTATTCCTGTGCTGAAAATCCTGAAGCTGAACTTTCAGCAGCCATTACTCCAGTCTTCAGTGTCACAGGATTTTTCAGAAATCATTCTTATATGTTGATTTGTAAGAATGCAAAAGTCTTTACTGTCACTTTTGATCAATTGAATGCATCCTTGCTGAATAAGAAAAATAATAGTGACCCCAACATTTTTAGATGAAGTATTCAGTACAATTTTTTTTCTTTTCCCCACTAAGTCATCTTTTTGTCCTTTCCATATAAAATAAAGCTGATCCTATTTTTGTCCATAAAGGCTGAAGACCATTGACATGGTAATCCGCAGCACACAAGGAGCTGAAGACATTCTCAACAAGTGTGAAAACCAACTGCGTGATGTAAACAAAGTTCCTGTTAATGAGAAAGACGTTGAGGCCAACCAAACACAGCTCCAGGTGCATTGTCTCTCACACAAAAACCCAATTACGCATGAAATAATTGTTAGTGGTTTACCTATGTGAATTTGAATGACACATGACATCACAAACATGTTCATGTTCTCATTTTCTTTCTTGACCCTAGAAAATGCGCACAGAAGCAGTGGGCAAGCAATCCACGTTTGACCGTCTGGAAGAGGAGCTTCAGAGGGCTACGGCGGTGAACAACCGGATGTCTCAACTGCACAGTGAGCGGGACATAGAGCTGGAGCACTACAGGCAGCTGGTGGGTAACCTGAAGGACCGCTGGCAGGCTGTGTTTGCTCAGATTGAGCTAAGGCAGCGAGAACTTGACCTTCTAAGTAGGCAAATGCAGGCCTACAGACAGAGCTATGACTGGCTCATCCGCTGGATAGCAGATGCCAAACAAAGGCAGGACAAGCTTCATGCTGTGCCAATAGGTGACAGCAAAGCCCTTCAAGAACAGCTGAACCAGGAGAAGGTATCTATCTATCTATCTATCTACAAAGTTTTAATTAATTTATCATTCTCAATGCTTTATATAATGAATATCCTCTTAATCAGGGGTCACCAAACTTGATCCTGGAGGGCCTGTGTCCTGCAAAGTTTAGCTCCAACTTGCCTCAACACACCACCCTGGAAGTTCCAAGTATACCTAGTAAGACATTGATTAGCTGCTTCAGGTGTGTTTGATTAGGGTTGGAGCTAAACTCTGCAGGACACCGGCCCTCCAGGACCGTGTCTGGTGACCCCTGCTCTTAATATTTATCCTATATCTAAAATCATGTAGTTGATCTTTTTATTTACGTCATGTCCATCCACTTTACAGAAACTGCTTGAGGAGATTGAGAAGAACAAGGACAAGGTGGATGAGTGCCAGAAATATGCTAAAGCATACATTGATGCCACAAAGGTGTGTGTGCATTTCGCTGCATGCATGTTTTATGATTTATGAGTAGCAGTCTGACTGAATGTTTTCATGCAGGATTATGAGCTTCAGCTGGTGACGTATAAAGCTTTGGTGGAGCCCATCGCTTCTCCTTTGAAGAAGACCAAAATGGAGTCTGTATCTGATGACATCATCCAAGAGGTACCTTTGATATCTGACATCCATCTATTTTTGAATCTCATTCTGATAAATGTATTAAATAAACATACTGTATGTGCAACTTAAAGTGTTATACTTGGACTTTTATTTTGTGTGCATTTCGCTGCATGCATGTTTTATGATTTATGAGTAGCAGTCTGACTGAATGTTTTCATGCAGGATTATGAGCTTCAGCTGGTGACGTATAAAGCTTTGGTGGAGCCCATCGCTTCTCCTTTGAAGAAGACCAAAATGGAGTCTGTATCTGATGACATCATCCAAGAGGTACCTTTGATATCTGACATCCATCTATTTTTGAATCTCATTCTGATAAATGTATGTACATACTGTATGTGCAACTTAAAGTGTTATACTTGGACTTTTATTTCTTGATTGTATTTCATATATGACATGCTAAGTAACTTTAAAACCATCTTTCAGTATGTGACTCTGAGAACACGCTACAGTGAGCTGATGACTCTTTCGAGTCAGTATATTAAATTCATTATTGAGACACAGCGCCGTCTAGAGGATGAGGAGGTAAGTGTCAAATTTGTACTCTAGCACTAACTGTAACTGACTAACTTAACCGTGTAGTTCAATTTATTGATGTATGGACATAATAAATATGTATGTATTTCACTATACAAACCATATGAGACACAGTTACATTTGTAATTAAGTTATTAAAGAGTGACACAATACTGAATTTGCTATTGTTGGCCATGTGCTAGAGGTAAAAGTTATGAAAATAAAAAATGTAACCGATCAAGGTGCTCACCTAGGTCTTCAGTAATGTTAATGCTAGTGGTGGAGCACATCCCATTTCTTTCACTATGTATGTCTCTCATGATCTGTTTACTACTATGGAGGTTTTTTAATATCTCTTCCATTATATTGAGCTCTCAGTTAGTATAGGTATCCTTCAGCCTGCAGCAAACTTACAATTTTCTAGCATCCAGAAAAATAAAAGTTAATGCATGGTGCAACATGTTGCGGGGATGCCACATTTGTTCTCTAGTTTAATTTCCTGGTTGGATTCTGTTTGTTGCTTTTGGAAATAGAAAGCAGCATTCTTACCCATCATTCCTTTGTGCTCTGATTGGTGATTTTCCCTCAGAGTATGCTTCACCCCTTCCTGTAGTTGTTTTTTTTTTGTTTTTTGTTTCCATTTTCCTTTCTAACCTTTATTTTCTTGTTTGCTTCTTGAAACTGCTTGCCAGTGCTTTATCATGATGAATGTTTGTCATGTTTGGGCACTAAAGAGGTAAATTGTCCACAAAATGCATGTTCATCCTTATCCAGTCCCCCTGTTAATTACATTTGCATTATTTAGAAATGCACACAAATATTAAATAATATATGCATTGATATATATTATTGGATTGGTCGAAATCTACACTGTTTGGCATTCATCAGACCTATTTTCTTATTTTTTTCCCCTCCTTATGGTGTCATTCTTTCTTTGCTGCATCACTAAGCTGTTCTGTTGTATGCATTATAAAACCTTAAATATATAAATTTTCAAATACTTCTTTCTTCAGTGACTCTCTACAGTAAAAATAAAAAATTTGAAAAGGTTAAATTTCCATATTTGGCATCTTTGATTCAAGAGTTCACCTTCTGTAAACCTTTTATATTAAAAATTTTAATATTAAAAGCACAACTCTTCGGTGTTCAAAATCACAAGTTAGGATTTTAAATATGTGAACAACAGTTTTTATGTAGCTAAAAAGCCATATCCAGTAATAACACCTCATTAGCATGATGCCATTCAGTATTAATGCCATTCAGTATTCCAGCTGTAGTGTTTTGTCAAGTGATTGTGTCTCATTTTGTGTACCATACATTGTGACTTTATATTATCCTTCATAAATCTTCTGCAACTACATAAGTTGTTTTTTAATTGAGTATAACTATTTAGCCTAACTACCTGTTACTTTGTCCATGTACTTACAGTTACATGTACTTACATGTGTCTGTAATATCTAACTCTTAAATGCTTACCTTTGTTCCTATTTCCCTGACTTTTTACCTCCACTAATACAGAAAGCTGCCAAAAGACTAAAGGAGGAAGAGAGGAAAAAGCTGGCTGAAATGCAGGCCGAACTAGAAAAGCAAAGAAAGTTAGCTGAATCTCAGGAAAAGGCTATTGTTAAAGCAGAACAAGAGGCAAATGAGCTGAAGACAATAATGAAAGACGAAGTCAGCAAACGACAGGATGTCGCTGTCGATGCTGAAAAACAGAAGCACAATATCCAACGAGAGCTTCAGGAGCTCAAAAGCATTTCAGAGCAGGAAATCAAGTCTAAGACTCAACAGGTAGAGGTAGCGCTCCAAAGCCGCACAAGAATTGAAGAAGAAATCCGTATAATCCGGCTTCAGCTGGAGACGACGATAAAACAAAAAAATACTGCTGAAACAGAGCTTCAGCAGCTCAGGGACAAAGCGGCAGATGCTGACAAACTTCAAAAGGCAGTGCAGGACGAGGCAGAAAAGCTTCGGAAACAAGTTGCTGAAGAGACTCAGAAGAAACGTAAGGCAGTGGAGGAGCTTAAACTGAAATCAGAGGCAGAAAAGGAGGCTGCCAAAGAGAAGAAGAAGGCCTTTGAGGATCTCGAGAAGTTCAAGCTCCAAGCTGAGGAAGCTGAGAGGCACCTGAAGCAAGCAGAGTTGGAAAAGCAGCGACAGATTCAAGTGGTAGAGGAGGTGGCTAAGAAGACCGCAGCCACCCAGCTTGAGAGTAAACAATTGACATTAACAGCAAAACTGGAAGAGTCACTCAAACATGAGCAGGTAATGGTCATTCAACTGCAGGAAGAGGCAGAACATCTCAAAAAGCAGCAAGCCGAAGCAAATAAGGCGAGAGAGCAGGCAGAGAAGGAGCTAGAGACATGGAGACAGAAGGCTAATGAAGCTCTCCGGCTCCGGCTCCAGGCAGAGGAAGAGGCTAATAAAAAAACTGCAGCTCAGGAGGAGGCAGAGAAACAGAAGGAGGAGGCCAAACGGGAGGCAAAGAAGAGAGCAAAAGCTGAGGAGGCTGCCCTTAAACAGAAAGAGACCGCCGAAAAGGAACTGGAGAATCAAAGAAAGATGGCTGAAGAAACGGCTAAACAGAAGCTTGCAGCAGAGCAAGAGCTTATTCGGTTAAGAGCAGATTTTGAGCATGCTGAACAACAGAGGACTGTCTTGGATAATGAGCTTCAGCGTCTCAAAAATGATGTTAATGCTGCCGTTAAACAGAAGAAAGAGTTGGAGGAGGAACTGGTCAAAGTTAGGAAGGAGATGGAAGTTTTGTTGCAGATAAAATCCAAAGCTGAGAAAGAGTCTATGTCAACCACTGAAAAGAGCAAACAACTACTTGAATCTGAGGCCGCCAAGATGAAGGAACTGGCTGAGGAGGCGACTAAATTGAGGTCAGTTGCAGAAGAAGCAAAGAAACACAGGCAGATCGCAGAAGAAGAAGCTGCCTGCCAGAGAGTGGAGGCTGAAAAGATCCTCAAAGAAAAGTTAGCAGCTATCAATGAAGCAACCCGTCTAAAAACGGAGGCTGAGATCGCTTTGAAAGAGAAGGAGGCTGAAAATGACCGTCTAAAGAGAAAAGCCGAAGACGAGGCCTACCAGAGGAAAGTTCTTGAAGATCAAGCATCACAGCATAAGCAAGAGATCGAAGAAAAGATTGATCACTTAAAGAAGTCCTCAGACACTGAGCTCGACAGGCAAAAGAAAATCGTAGAAGAAACTTTGAAACAGAGGAAAGTGGTGGAGGAGGAGATCCACATTCTCAAGCTAAATTTCGAAAAGGCTTCAACTGGCAAACGGGACCTTGAACTTGAGCTTAACAAACTGAAGGGTATTGCAGATGAGACACAAAAGAGCAAAGCGAAGGCAGAGGAGGAGGCAGAGAAATTCAGAAAACTTGCTTTGGAAGAAGAGAAAAAAAGAAAACAGGCAGAGGCCAAGGTAAAAGAAATCCAAGCTGCAGAAGAAGAGGCAGCAAGGCAACACAAAGCAGCTCAAGAGGAGGTTGAGCGTCTTATAAAGTTAGCGGAGGATGCCAAAAAGCAGAGGGAGCTTGCAGAGAAAGAAGCTGAGAAACAGGTCATTTTAGTCAAAGAGGCTGCACAAAAGTGCTCTGCTGCTGAACAGAAAGCCCAAGATGTTCTTCTCCAGCAAAATAAAGGCACCATGGCTCAGGATATACTCAAGGGAGAGTTTGAAAAAGCAAAGAAACTGGCGCAAGATGCGGAAAAGGCTAAAGACAAGGCTGAAAAAGAGGCTGCCCTGTTGCAGAAGAAAGCGGAGGAAGCAGAGCGTCAAAAGCAGGCAGCTGAGGCTGAAGCTGCCAAACAGGCAAAAGCCCAGGAAGATGCTGAAAAAATGAGGAAGGAAGCCGAGGCTGAAGCTTCCAGACGGGCGGAGGCAGAAGCTGCTGCTTTAAAACAAAAACAAGAGGCTGATGCTGAAATGGCCAAGTACAAAAAGCTTGCAGAAAAGACCCTGAAGCAGAAGTCTTCGGTTGAGAAGGAGTTAGTGAAGGTTAAAGTGCAACTTGATGAGACGGACAAACAGAAATCCATCCTTGATGATGAACTTAAGCGACTTAAACAAGAGGTCAGTGATGCTATCAAGCAGAAGGCTCAAGTAGAGGATGAGCTCTCTAAAGTCAAGATTCAGATGGAGGACTTACTAAAACTGAAACTGAAAATTGAAAAGGAAAACCAAGAGCTTATGAAGAAAGATAAGGACAACACAAAGAAACTTCTTGAGGAAGAGGCAGAGAACATGAAAAAATTGGCGGAGGAGGCAGCACGGCTCAACATTGAGGCTCAAGAAGCTGCAAGATTACGACAAATTGCAGAGTCTGATCTTGCAAAACAGAGGGAACTGGCTGATAAGATGCTGGAAGAGAAAAAACAGGCCATTCAGGAGGCAAAACAACTAAAGGCAGAAGCTGAAAAGCTCCAGAAACAGAAAGATCAGGCACAGGTAGAGGCTCAAAAGCTAATGGAGGCCAAAAAGGAGATGCAGGAGCGTCTGGAGCAGGAGACTGAAGGTTTCCAGAAATCCTTAGAGGCTGAACGCAAGCGGCAATTAGAGATTACTGCAGAGGCTGAAAAACTGAAGATCAAAGTGGCACAGCTAAGTCATGCTCAATCAAAAGCAGAGGAGGAAGCCAAAAAATTCAAGAAACAAGCAGATGAAATCAAATCCCGCCTACTAGAGACAGAAAAACAGACTTCAGAAAAACATCCTGTTGTTGAGAAGTTGGAAGTACAAAGGCTGCAGAGCAAAAAAGAGGCTGATGGTCTGCATAAAGCAATTGCAGAGCTTGAGAAAGAAAAAGAAAAACTGAAAAAAGAGGCAGCTGACTTACAAAAACAATCAAAAGAGGTATTGTTATATGTAGTAGTACTGTGGCCTAGTGTTTTACATATTACCCTTAAACCCCTTAATTAACAATTAACAGTTTTCATACAACTTCTGAACCTTTGTTCATGTAAATTGCATGTTGCCAGTCACAGTAGTAAGAAAGCCTGCAACTGTCATGAACAAAGATGTTCTGGTCCCTTTTTACATTACAGTGTCCATGATACAGTATAAATAATTACTGAATAGCATAAATGCATTTATTTAGTATACAGTTATGTCATACAGCCCATATTTGCAAGTTATTGGTATCACTATTTATTTGTTATTAATATCTAATGTCTGTAAGTTGAACACTATAATGTTGTAATTTTCCTAAAATTTCCATAATTTACTTATTTATTCAGTGAACTAAATGTAGTTAATTTGTTAGATATTAGTGTACCTTTCAATTAATATCTATTGTAGTATGCAGTAAAGTTGTCATTTATATAGTTTACTGTATTAATTGGATTCTGTGGTTACAGAGATTTTCATTGAAAAGATAATTATGTAAATACATATTAAAGGTATAGTTTACCTCAAAATTAAAAAAAAAAAAAAAATCATAATTTTTTCACATTCCAAACATGTATGACTTTCTTCTGTGGAACTTAACGATATTTAGAAGAATGTATCAGTATTTTTTCCTGTACAATGAAAGTCAATGGGGTTCATTACTATTTTTCAACCTTTTTACTTTTAATTGTATGGACAAAACAATTAAAACATTCTTCAAAATATTTTGTGTTCTACAAGAGCAAGTAAGTTAGGTTTGTGACAAATGGGTGCAAGTAAACGATAACAGATTTTTCATGTTTAGCGTAAGCAGTTTACTTATTTGTCTTTCCAATGGAAATCGCTGTAGCAAAAGAATCACATGAACACAAAACACTATATAGGCCTAAATATGACACCACAGCATACAAGAGAGATTAATTAAAAGGTACACTGACAGGTGCATGTTATTATGTAATTATATAAGAAAAAATATAACCATCTCAAAATGTAAAATTATATATATCAGTGGCGTGCGGTGGTGTTTTAAAATGAGGAGGCAGTTATATATACTGTATATATATATATATATATTATATATGTAATTCAATAATTAATGTCTTTGTTACACTTAATGTTTACACTAAGTACAAAACACCTAGCAGGATTTTCTGCTATTTATACTACTTATTGCAGATAGTGGCAATTATCTGCACCTCAGTATTGTAGTACAATATAAAACAGTATGCAATAATAACAATAACAACAACGTGATATCTGATTTGAAAAAGTAGGAAAAAAAGTTTGGCAAAACGCGGATTCGAACCCTAGTCGATCACGTCAAAAACGACTTCAACACGTACTTTACCATCTGCGCCACTGGAGCTATTATTAGACAGTAGTCTTTTGTAATGCTTTGTAATCACACGTTGATGGGCGGAGTTAGTGTAAATAGCCTCTGCCAACAAGACGCTATTTGCACTTGTAAATAGACACTCCGTTTTTTTATTTGTGAACTGATGTTCAGCTGTTCTTTTTAAGTCAACTTATTTTCGGGTCATTGTCATAAAAGGCCTTTAAACTTTGTCACAGGCACGAAGATACATCTTTCATTTCATCAAGCTGAATGCTCACTAAAAACTGACACAGTCATCACGTTTTCAAGTTGTTTCATTTTGATGTGACGCAAAGTAGTGATATCTAAGCAGGAGAGTTGTTTACTTACTTTATAATTAGTCAATATCTCCATTTTCTTCATTCAGCCGAGAGCTCGCACGAAAACAAGAGGCGGGATTTATCACACGAACCAATCACATCCAATCATAACCATATATATATATATATATATATATATATAAAATATTCTATAAAAAAGGAATTTATTATTCCTTGTACATTGATTTTTTTGTCATGCATTGAAATAATTATTGTTTTATACTTTTTATCGCAGATGGCCAATGTACAACAAGATCAGTTGCAGCAGGAAAAGACTATTCTCCAGCAAACATTCTTAGCAGAAAAAGAAACACTGCTGAACAAAGAGAAAGCTGTTGAGGCAGAGAAAAAGAAGCTGGAGAAGCTATTTGAAGATGAAGTTAAGAAGGCTGAAGCACTCAAAGATGAACAGGAGCGTCAGAATAAGCAAATGGAGGAGGAGAAAAAGAAACTGCAGTCTGCCATGGATGATGCTATCAAAAAGCAAAAGGATGCTGAGGAAGAGATGCATTCCAAGCAAAAAGAAATGCAAGAACTTGAAAAGAAAAGAATTGAACAAGAGAAACTTCTGGCAGAGGAAAACAAGAACTTGCGAGAAAAACTCCAGCAGCTTCAGAGTTCACAGAAGCCATCCCGCACCAAGGAGATTGAAATCCAAACTGACAATGTCCCCGAAGAAGAGTTAGTTCAAATGACCATGGTAGAAACAACAAAGAAGGTCCTAAATGGCTCTACAGAAGTGGATGGTGTGAAAAAAGATGTACCCCTGGCATTTGATGGAATCAGAGACAAGGTGCCTGCAAGCAGACTTCATGAGATTGGTGTGCTCAGCAAAAAAGATTTCGACAAGCTTAAGAAAGGCAAAACTACGGTGCAAGAGCTTTCTAAGAACGACAAGGTCAAGATGTGCCTAAAAGGTAAAGACTGCATTGGCGGTGTAATAGTTGAACCCAACCAGAAAATGAGTATCTATCAAGCTTTGAAGGACAAGAAGATTCCACAAAGCACAGCTATGATGCTTCTCGAAGCCCAAGCTGCATCTGGTTACATAACTGACCCCGTTAAGAACAGAAGACTCTCCGTCAGTGAAGCTGTGAAGGATACCTTGATTGGACCCGAGTTGCACACCAAGTTGTTAACTGCCGAACGGGCTGCCACAGGATTCAAAGATCCATTCACTGGAGATACAATCTCACTATTTGAAGCAATGAAAAAAGGTTTAATTGCAGAGGACCAGGCCTCTAAACTTCTTGACTCTCAATATGCAACTGGTGGGATAATTGATCCTGTCAATAGCCACCGTATACCTGTCCAGATGGCATGCACACAAGGTCAACTCGATGAAGACCTAAGCAAAGTTCTTTCCAGCCCTCCTGCTAACAAAAAAGCATTCATTGACCCCAACACTCAGGATAGCCTCACTTATGGTGAGTTACTGGAGCGATGCAAACCAGATCCTGAGACAGGCATTCCATTACTACCAATCACAGAACAAGCAGCCCAAATTGAAAGAACTTATACCGATGAGGAAACTAAAGATGTATTTAGTAAGGCTAACTTAACAGTTCCATTTGGAAGATTCAAAGGAAAGACTGTCACGATCTGGGAGGTCATAAACTCTGAGTACTTCACTGAAGATCAGAGAAAGGATCTTATCCGTCAATACAAGACAGGCAAAATTACAGTTGAAAAAATAATTAGAATTGTAATAACTGTTGTAGAGGACAAGGAGAACATGAAGGAACCTGCGTTTGATGGTTTGAGATCATCAGTGCCAGCGTCTGAACTTCTAGAAGCAAAAGTTATTAATAAAGATTTATTCAACAAATTGCACAATGGAAAAGCTACTCTTAAAGAGGTGTCTGAGCTTGAACCTGTCAAGAAAGCCCTAAAGGGGGCACACAGTATTGCTGGAGTGCAGATTGAGTCAACTTCTGAAAAGATGTCTTTCTACGAAGCCATGAAGAAGGACTTACTTGGAACAGAGCCTGCACTTAACCTTCTGGAGGCCCAAGCCGGAACAGGCTTCATAATTGATCCAGTGAAAAATCAAAAGCTCACAGTTGATGAAGCAGTCAAAAGTGGTGTTGTTGGCCCAGAGCTGCATGAAAAATTGTTGTCTGCAGAAAGAGCTGTTTGTGGTTACAGAGATCCATATACTGGAAAAACTGTATCCCTGTTTGAGGCAATGCAAAAAGATCTCATTAAGAAAGACCAAGGTGTCCGTCTGCTGGAAGCTCAACTTGCAACTGGAGGAATTATTGACCCTGAGAAAAGTTACCGCATAACTCCAGAAATTGCATATAAACGTGGTTACCTAAATGAGGAGATGAACCAAAACTTAAGCAGCCCATCAGACACAAATACAGTATTTGTTGACCCCAACACACAAGAACATGTCACTTATGTTGAACTGCTGAAAAGATGCATCACTGATAAGCAGACTGGTCTCCCATTGCTGCCACTAAAAGAAAAGGCAATCAAGTCAAAGGAAATGGAACCAGTTTCTGACGCACAAACTAAAGAGACCTTGAGCCATGCTACGGTTGAGTTACACAGTGGACTTTTTAAAGGAAGAAAAATCACCATTTGGGAGATTATCAACTCTGAATATTTCACAGAAGAACAAAGGATTGAATTTATTCAGCAGTATAGAACAGGAAAAATCACTATTGAAAAACTGATCAAGATTGTGATCACTACAGTGGATGAAAAAGAAAAGAAGAGATGGGACAACTTTGAAGGTTTCAGAGGTCCTGTACCAGCCAGTTCCTTGCTTGAATCTAAAATCATTGACAAAGACACCTATGATAAAATCCAACAAGGCAAAAAGAAACCCGCAGAAGTTAGTGACTCCATCAAACGCTACTTGCGAGGTTTTGATTGCATTGCTGGGGTATTTTTAGAAAAAAACAAGGAAAAACTCAGCATTTACCAAGCAGTAAAGCAGAAACTACTGACACCAAACACAGGTTTGTCCCTGCTAGAAGCCCAAGCAGCTACTGGCTACATAGTTGATCCCATCAGGAATGAGAAATTTACAGTGGATGATGCTGTTAAGGCTGGCATTGTTGGTCCAGAGCTTCATGAGAAACTGCTATCCGCAGAGAAAGCGGTTACTGGTTACAAAGATCCATACACTGGTAATAAGATCTCTCTTCTTCAAGCAATGCAAAAACAGCTTGTTCTAAGAGAACATGCCATACCTCTTCTAGAGGCTCAGGAGGCTACTGGAGGGATAATTGATCCAGTAAATAGCCATCGACTTCCCAGTGATATAGCCATTCAGCGTGGCTACTTCAGCAAGCAATTAGCCAAATCGTTTAAAGACCCCACAGATGACATCAAAGGTTTCACTGACCCTACCAAAGATGAGAATGTCACATACAAACAATTGAAGGAGAGCTGTATGACTGATCAAGAGTTTGGAATTGTCCTGTTGCACCTTTCTAAAGCCCAGACTCCAGAGAAAGCGGAGAAATCCTATGTTTACACTGAGGAGCAAGCACAAATGGACTTAGCTAACACTCAAATTGACATACCACATGAGAGTTTTGCAGGGAAACAAGTGACTTTATGGGAAGTCATGAAATCAGATTTGCTTCCAGAAGAGGAAAGACAAAGGCTTCTTGAACAGTACCGCTCCGGCAAAATCACAAAAGAGAGAATGGTCATTATTGTAATTGAAATTATTGAACAAAGAGAGATCATCAGGACTGAGCAGAGTATGTCGTGTGATGTCATCAGACGCCGGGTTACTATTGATGAACTTTACAGAGCTCGCATTATAGACCTAGAATCTTACAACCTGCTCAAACAAGGCAAGAAAAAGATTCGGGAGGTTATGGAGATGCCAAGTGTGAAGCAGTATCTTTTTGGAACAGGCAGCATTGCTGGAATACTCTCAGATAACTATGCTAAGGTTAGCATCTACCAAGCCATGAAGAGAGGTCTCATAAAGCCTGACATTGGCATAGATCTGTTGGAAGCACAAGCAGCAACAGGATTCATCACTGACCCTGTGAAAGATGAATTGTTGACAGTTGATGAGGCCGTCCGGAAGGGTCTTGTTGGCCCAGAGATCCATGACAAACTCTTGTCTGCTGAAAGAGCAGTCACAGGTTACAAGGATCCCTATAGCGGTAAAGTGATTTCTTTGTTCCAAGCCATGAAAAAGGACCTCGTTCCTGAGGATTATGCCATGAAGCTTTTGGAGGCCCAGTTAGCAACAGGTGGCCTCATGGATCCAGAGTACTATTTCCACCTCCCAATTGATGTCGCCATGCAACGTGGTTACATAAACAAAGAAACCAGTGACAGGATATCTGATCCAAGTGGAGATGTCAAACAGTTTACGGATCCTACAACAGACGAAAAGCTGTCTTATGCACTACTTCTTAACAGATGTAAGGTTGATAAAGAGAGTGGCTTACGATTGTTGTCTCTGGCAGACAAGAGACTTCTATTTAAGGGCCTTAGAAAGCAGATCACCCCAGATGAGTTGTTGCGCTCTCAAATTATTGATCAGAAAACCTATACAGCTCTCATGGAGGGTACCATTTCTGTGGAGGACCTTAGTAAAGACCTGAAGAAATATCTTGAAGGCATCAGCTCTATTGCAGGTGTGTATGTAGAGGCTACCAAAGATCGACTGTCAGTCTACCAAGCCATGAAGAAGAACATGATCAGACCAGGCACTGCATTTGAACTTCTGGAGGCTCAGGCAGCTACTGGGTATGTGATTGATCCGATCAAAAATCTCAAAATGAATGTCATTGAAGCTGTAAAAATGGGAGTCGTGGGACCAGAATTTAAAGATAAGCTCCTCTCTGCTGAACGAGCTGTGACCGGCTACAAAGATCCATACTCTGGCAAGGTGATCTCCCTGTTCCAGGCTATGAAGAAAGGTCTTATTCTGAAAGACCATGGTATCCGTCTGCTTGAGGCTCAAATAGCCACCGGTGGAATCATTGATCCTGAAGAGAGTCATCGACTGCCTGTTGAAATGGCCTACAAACGGGGTCTCTTTGATGAAGAGATGAATGGTATTCTCACTGATCCCTCTGACGACACAAAGGGGTTCTTCGATCCAAACACAGAAGAGAATTTGACCTACCTCCAGCTCATGGAGCGCTGCATGACAGACCCTGAAACTGGACTTTCACTTTTACTGCTGAAAGAAAAGAAACGAGAAAGAAAGACATCCTCCAAGTCTTCAGTCCGTAAACGTAGAGTTGTCATCGTAGATCCAGAAACGGGAAAAGAAATGTCTGTGTATGAGGCATACAGCAAAGGACTCATTGACCATCAAACATACATTGAGCTTGCAGAGCAGGAGTGTGAATGGGAAGAAATTACCACCTCATCATCAGATGGTGTTTTTAAGTCTATGATCATTGACAGAAGGTCTGGACGGCAGTATGACATTGATGATGCAATCTCCAAGGGCCTCATAGACCAGTCATCTTTGGACCAGTACCGTGCTGGTACCCTTTCCATAACTGAATTTGCAGACATGCTCTCCGGTAATATGAGTGGCTTCAGATCTCGATCATCTTCCTTTGGATCCAGCTCATCCTATCCCATGAGTCCAATTCCATCCATAAAGATGCCGGCCACAACCTGGACTGATCCAACCGAGGAAACTGGACCAGTGGCTGGAATTTTAGATACAGATACTTTGGAAAAGGTGTCAGTTACGGAGGCTATGCATCGGAATCTAGTTGACAATATCTCCGGTCAAAGACTACTAGAAGCACAAGCATGCACAGGAGGAATTATTGACCCAAACACTGGAGAGAAATTCTCTGTTGCTGATGCAATGAACAAAGGGCTGGTGGACAAGATCATGGTTGAACGTATCAACCTTGCTCAGAAAGCTTTTCAGGGATTTGAAGATCCAAGAACCAAAACCAAAATGTCCGCCGCTCAAGCCTTAAAGAAGGGTTGGCTCTACTACGAAGCTGGTCAACGCTTCCTTGAAGTCCAGTACCTAACAGGTGGTTTAATTGAACCGGATGTTTCAGGAAGACTATCGTTGGATGATGCTGTCAAGAATGGCACTCTAGATGCACGCACTGCACAGAAACTGAGAGATGTCAGTGGATATTCAAAATACCTCACCTGCCCCAAAACAAAACTCAAGATCTCATACAAGGATGCCATGGACAGAAGCATGATCGAGGAAGGATCTGGCCTGAGGTTGCTAGAGGCGTCCTCTCAGTCAAGTAAAGGCCTTTACAGCCCATACAGCATCAGTGGCTCTGGATCAACTTCAGGGTCGAGGTCTGGATCCAGAACTGGTTCAAGATCAGGCTCTAGAAGGGGAAGTTTTGATGCTACAGGCTCAGGTTTCTCCATGGGTTTTTCCTCATCTTTCAGCCCCACTAGCTATGGCCGTCGTTATGATTCAGGGGCACATGGTGGACTTCAGATGGATGAGCTAAAGCAAGCCCTTCTAGCTTTAGCATCAGGCAGGAACTGTTGCTACGATGAAAAGAGAATCTTCACATTATCACAAACTCAGCCCTCTTTAGTTGCTTAATTTATGTACACAAAAGGACATTTATCCTGCTCTGCATGATATTGCAAATGGGCTTTTTTAATGATGGAAATAATAATGCTATATAAGACTGGCTTTAATATTTTTTCATTTTTATATATTTAGTTAAATATACAGATGTTTTTTTCTCTCACTTTCCTTTTCATTTTGACATGACAGTATAAAATTACATCATAAACCGTTTATTCTGCACAGCATTCATGGCAGAATCATTTTCATATATATTTTTTTTATATTCAGTCTTTTCAATTATTAGCAGTGTTAAATACTTATAGCCTCTCTTTTTTATTATCTTGTTTTTTTCCATGTACCTTGAAAACTGGCACATGAAAAATAATGAAGTTTCAAGAATGTTTAGATTTCTTAGAGAGGATATGGTAATGCTTCAAATGAGATGTAGAAGTTATTTGTTATATATTTTGGTGTGTACCACATTTGGTTGTATTTTAACACTGAACATTATAAGCCAGCATGGTAAAAAGGGGGAGCTGTTACTATCTGCAGAGCGGAATAAAGTCCATTTGGACATTTATGATGGGGAGCATGTCAATAAACAAAACATTACACATCTTGGCAGCACTGCCATAGACATTGTTCTTGAGAAATCCATTCTCTTCTCATAACTGGAAACTAGAAAACAATAAACCTTGAACTATGCAGTCTTACTAGATAAAGTGAAATGGATTCACCAATCCTACAGCCATCTTAAAAACTCCAGATCCTTGCAGAATTTGCCACAAATCACTCTAAAGATGACAATAAAACATCTTTAAAAGGCATAAATGACTCCCATCCCAACCATAGTTTGCCTCTGGCCCTTCGTCTGATTTAAAGGGGACCTCACTTGCGCCTTAACCTTGTGTGACGTCTGCAGTAATTTCCTTGTAAATATAATGTGCACCTTCTTAAGACAATAATTATGTCTCGTTGCAGATTATATAGAATGTAACAATATAAGATTTTCATTGTTTATTGTTGCATAAAAGCAGCCTTTATCATTTGGCAGTTTAAATAATAACAAACCTGGCCAATAATGTAAATTCAAACATTTTCTTTCATGCACTGTGTAGTTGTCAAATGAAAGCCTCTTAATATCATAAATAATGGGTCTCATTTTTTTTATCAGGAGGGGTCTCTTTCTGTCTACTACAGAATATGCCCCGACTACCTCTTTAAATTCAAGTCCCCATTTGTTATGATAATTTGCTTTGTTTCTCTTAATATCATAAATAATGGGTCTCATTTTTTTTATCAGGAGGGGTCTCTTTCTGTCTACTACACTATAAATCACTAAATAGCTCCCTATCTTTCACTGCCACTTGAGCTCCACCTGTGTGTTTAGAGCGTATGGAATGGATTTCTCCTTTCAAAAGATTCACAGTCAGTGTGATCTTTCAACCAACATACATGTTCCACTACCTTTATTTATGCTCCATTTTCAGCTTTGCTTATGAATTGTTAGATTTATTTGGTTAAGTAGAATTAAAAACGCTAATGGTGTATAGAAGAAATCAGAGTGCTCAACTGATAATTCCCCCTTACTGGTCAATTTGAACACTAAATCTGAAGTGTTTTAGTGTAGTACTATAAACACTAGCGTGTAAACCATAGCACATTCACTTTGTATATCAGTTGCTATAATGTTGTAGGCCTACTGACAAGCATTGCAAGTAATTTAACATTGATCTCTGAACTGAATGTAGATGTTTACAAGAACAAGGTTCCCTGTAATTGAACAGATATTGCCATATCTAAAACTGTAGTCATAAAACGTAAACTTAGACTGATATTCAATGGCACAAAAAGAAAATCTGCTTCAGTCTCTCCAATCCGATGATGTTTTTTCACTGTACTGTAAATCATAATATTTCAATTTTAGTTATATTTTCCTATCTTCTGCTTTTTATGTTCTACTAACATGATTATAATGATGCAATATGAGCAGTTACACTCAGCAAAACCTTTTTTAAAGTAAGCTTTTTGAGGCACTTAAAAGGTATATTTGAAACTGTTCTGATATTGAATGCATGATCTCAGTATGGTATTTACGAGATAAAATGTAAATATCATGTTGTAAATAAACATTAAATATCTGCTGTACAGTGTCAGTTTACCTTTTTGTCAACTCCTTGGTAATTAGTCACATCAAGTATCACTGAAACAACAAAAATACACCTGAGAATGACTTTAAAGGGGTCATATGACGTTGCTAAAAGGAACATTATTTTGTGTATTTGGTGTAATGCAATGTGTTTATGCGGTTTAAGGTTAAAAAAATTTTACGCTTTGCGTTGCGTATTGCGCCGCGTAAACATAAAACCATGTCTGCATTTGTGATCGGAGAAACAACAAACAACAAGCCTACTCTACACTGCTCAAAACTCGCGTTTGAATCATCATTGGCAAATTATTTAAATATAAAAAAACGTACTTACAGGCTGGGATTCAGAAGCGCCAGTCTGTCCTTGCAAAGTTGGAAGTGCCCAACTTTATAGAAACAGCCTTTGTGCCATAGACGCACGCATTAGGCTACTGGTTCAGGAAACCGTCCTCATCCATCCTCCATAAAATGCGCTGGACACATCTGAATATTTGGGTTGAACTGTTCTGGAACAGTGTTGTAAATACAACTTAACCACTGATTTCTAGTCGTGTCAGTATGTAACAAGCATTACTTTTATTTGCTACAATACTACAGCGAGAATAAAAGTTATGCTTTCTTTCTTTGCGTGAACATTTGGGCTGCGTTTTGCAAATCTTCCCACATCGTGACGTAGACATGTGGGTGCGTGTTAGAACGAGCCGTTTTAATAGGCGTGGTTGACTCTTAACTTTTATAAAGAATATCTCTTTGGATTTGAGACTTTAGTCTTTGCAACTTTACAGATCTTCTTTATGCACCAAGAGCTTGTAACACCCCAAAGAGAAAGGAAAAATTTTAATCGCATCATATGACCCCTTTAATGTCAACCCTCAGCATTAAAACCAAATGAAGTAGCATTAAAATTGGTTAAGGGTTTGAATAAGTTTATGCATAATGTAATCTTTTAAATCCATTAACTTTGAGACATTTGCCTTATAGGGTAAGAGAGAGGATTTGACATGCTATGTGACAGGTTTTGTACTGGATTGGTTACAAACCCCCTCAAGCTATTCACACACATATACACACACACAATGCCCTTAATCACAAGATTGTTTAAGAAGATGCTAGTAATTTGCATATAAACCGTATTTGCATATAAAATCAAGAAACCAACATGCCTGACTAAGCCAAAAGAAACAGGTAAAACATCATAATGTTGACATCATAATTACCTTGCCATCAAAACATTGTAATTAAATGATGGAATTAATGATTGTTTACAAGTTGGGTGTGTATTTTGATTATTTAATAATGCAGTTCAATACAGTAATTATTTCTGAGCTTTGCTTTAAATATTTAAAGCAGTCTTCTAGCTATATCTCCACCCGAACAATTACCAAAACTCCCTTGTCCGTGTCAATATTTGTTTGCAAAACAAATGTCAAAGTCTGCGATTAACAGGTTTGGTTGCATTAAAATCACAATGTTAAATCATATATCATAAAACTTAATCACAAAAAACTATTAGCAATTATTGGCACACCCAAAAACTTCAGCTCCCATCCTTTTCTTTATCCTTACTGATAACGAATTATAGTTTTCTCAGTAATCGATACTATCTTGAATACTATATTGAAATGACCTAAAGCATGTGGACACCTGGGGGCCTCATTTATAAAATGTTGCCTATAAACAGTCCTAAATTTGTTCTAAGATCATTTCTCAAAAGTGCATAAGTGCGATTCAGAGAAAACGAACGTGCGCACAAAACCACGTGCGTACGCCTCTCTTCTAGATGTGACATTTATAAATCGCAAATGATCTTGAAATTGTGCGCAGCTGACTGGTGTCAGATCTCCGCCTTGTAAACGCCCCCTAATTAATATCATTACCATATAAAAGAGCACACGCCAATATCCGACTTTGTATGCTTGAGAATGAGCAGCACAAAGAAAAAAAAAAAACTTTATTTAGTCTGAAATTGAGGTCCTGCTGGCGGAGGTAGAGGTTCCTGCGGGGATGCTTTTTATTTAATAATGTGTAATTATTCTGTGGACAAACAATATGTGTGGTTATATTTTTTCTATTGACTATTATCAAAATTACTACTTCTAGAAACAACAGAAATAATAACAACAACAACAATAGTAGTGTCACAGTCTTCAGCGGGTGTGCCCAGGAGGGCCACCAGATGACTGTGTTCGGTGAGCACATGGCTTGTGTTGTGTTGTCTGTTGCCATGTGCTCTCTCCTGTCTATTGTCTTGCCCCTCCCATCTTGTTACCTCGTTATTGTTTTAGTTGCTCCACCTGTGTCTCCCTCGTTAGCCTCCTCGTTTGGTTCCTATTTATTCTCCTGGTGTCTGTCATCCTGTGCTGATCTGTCATTTCTCATTGTGTGTGTTTCGTGTCTGCATGTGTGCAGCTTTAGGCCTGCCTGTCTGTTTTTCCCCTTCGGGGTGGTTTGAGTTTGTTTTTGTTTCATTTTTATTATCAAAATAAATAACCATTTCTCCTGCAATTGAGTCCTTGCTTCATCTCCCCGCACGCACCGTGACAGAACGGATCAGCCAACATGGGGACTCAGCGGAGAATGGGCTCACACCGCCTACCGGTCTCTACTCTCTCCAGCCCCCTCTACCAGCGCATGCTCCAGCTGGAGACCCTGAGCTCCCTCCGCCAACGAGGGACCGAGCTGAGGGAGTTTGCCATGG